CATATGATTTTTAGGACAGTCATTTGTTATGCACAGTAGGATAGGCAGATGGTCCGAGACAGTATGATATATCAGTATCAATGGTGTAACTAATAACATTATTCAGATAATTAACACTCACAAATATATAGTCTATCATCGTTCTCACATCTTTAAATTTGTTTGACAACGTATACTAAGTAATATCGTCTAATGGTACACCTGAATAAAGGGTTCGTTCATTTAGTACCCTTTGAAGGCAACGAGATCTCATAATATATTCTTTGGACCGCAGATTATCGTATATCTGCATTAAAATCTCCAGTAAGAATAGTAAGACCCTGTTGTGAGTATATGTCATACAATTACAATCACATAGTCCACCTGTTCGAAATATACACTGTCCAACGTGTTAGTGGAAGGTTATCTAGTTCCTATCACATATAATGTGTTCTTACCTATTCTTAGACTTACTCCGATTACTAGTACATTTTGGCTTTGTAATGTATTAATAACGGATACCTTACACCAATCGCCTTCACGTATGAAGGTTGCCATACCAGCTGACCCACGCTGAGAAGTACTGGTACAGCTGCATTTATAGTAAACATCAAAATCATCATGTATAGTGTTGATAAGGATGGCATTTTGTTCACTTAAACAATGTTCAGTCACAAAGAATAGATCTGTACTGTCTAGTCTGGTACATAACTGATGCGTGCCGTGCATAATGCCTAACGTGTAGTAGCAGTGCACTAAGTATAATGTTTATTATTAGTATGGCTTTTCATTCCCGGCACTTGAGTTGTCGTTTGTATACCAAGAACTTTTGGGTACCCATTCTCTGCCGTTCACATTTTCAGGCCAGAACGTTTCATCGGTCAATATTGCCTTTGCACATTGTGTTGGCATATTTACACGTATTGTGTAAGTTGGATTTTCACCTCCCAATGCCTGAGGAGCGTCATATAACTACTTGAAACACCATGCTGTGTTGCATAGTCCTTGATCGCGTCATGTACATATTTCAAAAGGCATGTCAGCTTTTAGATAAGACAGAACAATCCTCTTTTGTCTAAAGCGAGAGGCCCCATAGAAAGCTTTTTTTGTCGTTTTAAAAATATGCCTCCTAGACTTAATAAGTATGAATTTGTTTGGGCTGATTATTGTGCTGCAAATAATTACAGAATTTGGAATTTTTAAACACAAAAGAATTTTTTTGAATTTGGTTTATATCAGGTTTTAAATACAAATCGTCCTGTTAACAAGTCGTTTTTATGTTCATTTGTAGAAGATGTGCGTATGAATGATTATTTGAGAAAGTGGTTTTAACAAGTCAAGATCGTATCGCTGCTTTAAACAATTTTATTGTACAGAAAATTATGTTTCATCTCATATTCCATGATGTTTTAGATCCGCATATGCAAAACTCAGATGTGGTATTGCTCCTTTAAAAATAAAAACTGGTAGAAACACTAACGTACCAATCAATGAATGAACATGCTTCCATTGCAAAAATTGTGTTGAAGGTGAATGTAACGTTTTGTTTCACTGCCCATTATATGATGATTTTAGAGATATGCTTTTTAATGAATTAAATGTGATTTTCAGATATGTCAGATGTTGATAAGCTTTGTTTTATAATGGGTAATAATGATGTTTGTTTCTTACCTGCCAAAATCTGCTTTTTAATTCTTAATCGGCGAAAAAATGTATTATATGGTAAATGTTGTAAACTGTTTTAATATATACTGTTTTTTTATCATTCATATTACCGTCTCTCATAATTCTTCATGAATGGTTCTGTGCATAATTTTACAAATATTGTTTATGATAATCATGCCTTTTAAATGTTTGTACAGAAGTGAGACGAAAATAAACTATTGTCTGTCTGTCTGCTCAAACAATCTATTTTCCCATCTATAGCAGACGTTCGTTTATCAGTTGTTGATATTCTTGTATGCAGAGTTTCTTGAAGCTCTTTAATATCTACATCCTTATGTTGTAGGTCGTCCTTCAGTGATGACACATCATGCTCAAGTCTTTTCCTCACGTGAATGACTCTCTTGAACTTTAGTTTTAAGGAAAACAAGTTTTTTGTTCTTTTCTTCTGAATGCATTAATCATGTGAAGCATGTCCTCTTCATATTTAGACTGGAAATCGTTCACTTTTATCATAAAGCATTCTTTCATCTCTTCATGCATACACATTAGTTTAGAAGGAAAACATCCAAGCACATCTTTGTCTTTATCATCCACAAGTTCAGTGTTTTCGTCAGATATGATCGAACTGCATATGACCTCTGCGGTCTGTTTACATCTGTGTCAAAATGGCGCCCTCAACCGTAGAGGAAATTATGGGAAAATGGCTTGTCCCGGAATAACACGAGTTGGTCACGAATGACTCTGAACACAAGCAGTCATTTCTGCAGCGGTTACGGTAAGGGGCGAGGTTTGACGGTCATATTGGGAGCAGCAGGGAATTCGACAGTGTGTGTTAGGAGTGAGTGAGCGAGTGAGTTGGGTTTAACGCTGCTTTTAACAGTATTCCAGTTATATCACGGCGTGTCCGCTTAATGTGGGAGGAAAGCCCGAAGTGATGCAGGTGTCAGACGTTTACCACTTCGGTGAAACCCACGAGCACGGGTATGGTCCTGACAAACCAAGAAACATAATCGGGGCGAACCGGGATTCGAACCCACAATTATAGGTTTCTGGCGTGCCCAAGGGAGGCAACTCTGCACAGCGAATGGCGGCGCCTTAGACGGCTTGGCCACCCGTGCCCCCGTGTGTATTAGGAAGTACACGTACGTCGTTGTATGGAATATGTGTTTGCCTAGCATGCCTAGCGATAAGGCAGTGTGACCAAGTAATATCCAGCAGACGTGATATTCCTACAGCAGAACTTGTCAAAATTGGCCAAAAATTGAGATTGCGCCTGAGGTCATGCAGGGAGCTAAAGTGACAGTTTCGGGTAAGGAATATGTGAATATAATGATCACGTATTACAGTGTGTATGGGTATGTTTGGCCATAAAAACAAAATAAGCGGCCCAAGGGTTGCAAAATGAAGAGGTTTAATGTGTTAACGTTATAGTGTCAGTGACAAATATCCCTGATCAAAATGATCGCAACAAGGACATGGAAACCTGCAAATCATTAATCGGGAAACGCGTACGATGGAGGGCCACGGAGCCGCATGTACTGCACGTGCAGCAGCACTATGAACGATATTAAAATGCAGTGATAATAACGATATGAACGGTTTATGTAGTACTAGGCTTTATTTACATGCTTTATTGTGTCATGTTGTAGTATATATGCTTTATTTACATTGTTCTTGTCTTCCATAGTTATTCACAGTTTCATAATAAATAATATATATATTATATAATGATAAATATATACAGTTTTAGTTTGACATTGAGCTAATTTTGAGTAAAGGTACTTAAAACTTCAAAGCATGTGATCTTTTCATAATAAGTTGTAGATTAAATTGGAGTAGAGGCTCACACAAATCTGGCTGTAGGTTTCTCGTTTTGAAGAGTACGATATGTGTAAGTAAATGTGTGAATTTATTTTTTCATCATATGTTAATCCTTGCTCATGTATATGATGTAGAAATGTGTTTGACATATATTCCTTTAACAAGATACTCTGTATGCTAATGTGACTCATTTTCTTATTTCATATTTCATATAACAAAAACCTATACTCACTTTACTCAGTGAGAAAGATTAATAGCCTAAACTTACATGTGCAGCTCTACTTTAAATAACGATATGAACGATTAATGTAGTACTAGGCTTTATTTGCATGCTTTATTTTGTTATGTTGTAGTTTTTATGCTTTATTTATATTGTCCTTGTTTTCCACAGTTATTTACAGTTTCATTATAAATAAAATATATATTATATAATGATGGCACGGGTGGTACAGTCTTCAAAGGCGCCTGCATTCCTTGGCCACGCCTATGCTCGATCATTCGAGTCCCAGTTTGCCCCGATTATGTTTCTGTTTGAAAGCACCACACCTGCATCACTTTCCTCCCACATTGAGATGAACATATGTTTTTCCATTAGTTTAAAGTGGAGGGATTGTAAAACAAGCACATGTTGCTTATCTGAATGCCTCTCCCACACTATGATGACAAACAGTGATTTAACTGGAATAAGTTTCAAAACCAATCCCACTCCTTCACAACCACTATCACCTCAAAAGTAACGAAATAGAAATAAATCATTAAGAAAGATCACCAAATTTGTTTATCCAGTATATGAGCACTGATTTACTTCTTAACGATACAAACTGATAACATTTTTTTCAATGAGGTAATGTACACTTTCCAAAAGTACACACAATTTATGGATAACAAGTTCTTTAATTACTGTAAAAGCGACGTTTCGGTATAAATCCTTATACCGCTGTCAGTCCGCTTGACGACGGTATAAGGATTTATACCGAAAGAAGACGTTATCCATAAATTGTGTCTCAAATGTTTTAGTAAATTCTACAAATGCCCTCATTGCATGAACATGAAATTAACCATTGATACATTAATCACAGGGCTAAAACATAAATCAAGGTTAGACGGTGGGACAAACAAAACGGTACACTATACAATTTAACATGTGTCATTAGGATCAGTAGAACACACATACCGCCTATAAAATGTTTAAAAGAGTCACAGGAAAGATGACAATCTTTTTCTTTGCTATATAATTTTTTTTAACCCTTACAAGGTCGGGCGAGTATCTTTAGCGGATGGGGTCAGAAGATTATATAATTACGAAATATACTTTGACCAATGAAAATTCAATGGATGATCATGCGTAACACTTGTTAATCGTTACACGTGAAGACTTTGACCAATGAGAAATCCATGTTGTTTTACGAGTAAAGAAATTGTACCATGTAAAAGTAGTATATTTCCTGTAAAGATAAATTCATGGATCGGATATCATGTTTACATGTAAATACGTAAGCTTAATAAGTGTGTTACGTGTAAATTTACAGCGATTTTCATTGGCCAAAGGCTTTATGTGCTCTGACTACAACTTTACGCGTAATAACATTAGTTGCACTGTTGTCATATGTTGCACTGTTGTCATATGTTGCACTGTTGTCAGATGTTATACTGTTGTCAGATGTTATTCTGTTGTCATATGTTGCACTGTTATCAGATGTTATTCTGTTGTCATATGTTGCACTGTTGACATATGTTGCACTGTTGTCATAGGGTATTCTGTTGTCAGATGTAGCATTGTTGTCATATGTTGCACGGTTGTCAGATGTTGCACTGTTATCAAATGTTGTACTGTTGTCATATGTTGCACTGTAGTCAAATATTGCACTGTTGTCATTTGTTGCACTGTTGTCATATGTTGCACTGTTGTCATATGTTGCAGTGTTGTCATATGTTGCACTGGTGTCAGATGTTGCACTGTTGTCAGATGTTGCACTGTTGTCAGATGTTATACTGTTGTCAGATGTAGCACTGTTGTCATATGTTGCACTGTTGTCAGATGTTGCACTGTTGTCAGATGTTGCACTGTTGTCAGATGTTATTCTGTTGTCATATGTTGCACTGTTGTCATATGTTGCACTGTTGTCAGATGTTATTCTGTTGTCATATGTTGTCACTGTTGTCATATGTTTGATATATGTTGACCCTATCCGCTAACCATAGACCATAACCTCATTGAAACTCATATAGTATGTAATCATCAGTGAAACAAACAAGAACATAATTCATAATGTACATTGTTAAATACAGCTTGACATACAAATACAAACACTACATATGTACAGTTTCCATGCAGATAGACACACACCACAAGCGTCCATCATGTCAGTTCAGCATGGCGCACAAAGTCCTTCACTGATGTTTTACTTGTCAGATGTTGCACTGTTGTCATATGTTGCACTGTTGTCATATGTTATTCTGTTGTCATATGTTGCACTGTTGTCATATGTTGCACTGTTGTCAGATGTTTTACTTGTCGGATGTTGTACTGTTGTCAGATGTTGCACTGTTGTCATATGTTGCACTGTTGTCATATGTTTCACTGTTGTCAGATGTTGCACTGTTGTCATATGTTGCACTGTTGTCATATGTTGCACTGTTGTCATATGTTGCACTGTTGTCATACGTTGCACTGTTGTCAGATGTTGCACTGTTGTCATATGTTGCACTGTTGTCATATGTTGCACTGTTGTCATATGTTGCACTGTTGTCAGATGTTGTACTTGTCAGATGTTGTACTGTTGTCATACGTTGCACTGTTGTCAGATGTTGCACTGTTGTCATATGTTGCACTGTTGTCAGATGTTGCACTCTTGTCATTTGTTGCACTGTTGTCAGATGTTGTACTTGTCAGATGTTGTACTGTTGTCAGATGTTGCACTGTTATCATATGTTGCACTGTTGTCATATGTTGCACTGTTGTCATATGTTGTACTGTTGTCATCTGTTATTCTGTTGTCATATGTTGCACTGTTGTCATATGTTGCACTGTTGTCATATGTTATTCTGTTGTCATATGTGGCACTGTTGTCAGATGTTTTACTTGTCAGATGTTGCACTGTTATCATATGTTGCACTGTTGTCATATGTTGCACTGTTGTCATCTGTTATTCTGTTGTCATATGTTGTACTGTTGTCAGATATTGCACTGTTGTCATAAGTTGCACTGTTGTCATATGTTGCACTGTTGTCAGATGTTATACTGTTGTCAGATTTTATTCTGTTGTCAGATGTTGTACTGTTGTCAGCTGTTGCACTGTTGTCAAATGTTGCACTGTTGTCAGATGTTATACTGTTGTCCGATTTTGTACTGTTGTTATATGTTGCACTGTTGTCAAATGTTGCACTGTTGTCAGATGTTATACTGTTGTCCGATTTTGTACTGTTGTTATATGTTGTACTGTTGTCATATGTTCTTCTGTTGTCATATATTGTACTGTTGTCAGATGTTATACTGTTGTCATATATTGTTATATGTTGTACTGTTGTCAGATGTTGTACTGTTGTCATATGTTCTTCTGTTATCAAATGTTGTACTGTTGTCAGATGTTCTTCTGTTGTCATATATTGTACTGTTGTCAGATGTTATACTGTTGTCATATGTTGTTATATGTTGTACTGTTGTCAAATGTTCTTCTGTTGTCATATGTTGCACTGTTGTCAGATGTTATACTGTTGTCATATGTTGTTATATGTTGTACTGTTGTCATATGTTCTTCTGTTGTCATATATTGTACTGTTGTCAGATGTTATACTGTTGTCATATGTTGTTATATGTTGTACTGTTGTCAGATGTTGTACTGTTGTGATATGTTCTTCTGTTATCAAATGTTGTACTGTTGTCATATGTTCTTCTGTTGTCATATATTGTACTGTTGTCAGATGTTATACTGTTGTCATATGTTGTTATATGTTGTACTGTTGTCATATGTTCTTCTGTTGTCATATATTGTACTGTTGTCAGATGTTATACTGTTGTCATATGTTGTTATATGTTGTACTGTTGTCATATGTTCTTCTGTTGTCATATATTGTACTGTTGTCAGATGTTATACTGTTGTCATATGTTGTTATATGTTGTACTGTTGTCATATGTTCTTCTGTTATCAAATGTTGTACTGTTGTCATATGTTCTTCTGTTGTCATATATTGTACTGTTGTCAGATGTTATACTGTTGTCATATGTTGTTATATGTTGTACTGTTGTCATATGTTCTTCTGTTGTCATATATTGTACTGTTGTCAGATGTTATACTGTTGTCATATGTTGTTATATGTTGTACTGTTGTCATATGTTCTTCTGTTATCAAATGTTGTACTGTTGTCAGATGTTATACTGTTGTCATATGTTGTCATATGTTGCACTGTTGTCATATGTTGTACTGTAGTCAAATATTGCACTGTTGTCATATGTTGCACTGTAGTCAAATATTGCACTGTTGTCATTTGTTATACTGTTATCAAATGTTGCACTGTTGTCAGATGTAGCACTGTTGTCAGATGTAGCACTGTTGTCAGATGTAGCACTGTTGTCAGATGTTGCACTGTTGTCAGATGTTGCACTGTTTGTCAGATGTAGCACTGTTATCAGATGTAGCACTGTTATCAGATGTAGCACTGTTGTCAGATGTTGCACTGTTGTCAGATGTAGCACTGTTGTCAGATGTAGCACTGTTGTCAGATGTTGCACTGTTATCAGATGTAGCACTGTTATCAGATGTAGCACTGTTGTCAGATGTTGCACTGTTGTCAGATGTAGCATTGTTGTCAGATGTTGCACTGTTGTCAGATGTTGCACTGTTATCAGATGTAGCACTGTTATCAGATGTAGCACTGTTGTCAGATGTTGCACTGTTATCAGATGTAGCACTGATGTCATATGTAGCACTGTTGTCAGATGTTGCACTGTTGTCAGATGTAGCAGTGTTGTCAGATGTAGCACTGTTATCAAATGTTGTAGTGTTGTCAGATGTTGCACTGTTATCAGATGTTGCACTGTTTGTCAGATGTAGCACTGTTGTCAGATGTTGCACTGTTATCAGCTGTTGCACTGTTGTCAGATGTTGCACTGTTGTCAGATGTTGCACTGTTGTCAGATGTAGCACTGTTGTCAGATGTTGCACTGTTATCAGATGTAGCATTGTTGTCAGATGTTGCACTGTTGTCAGATGTTGCACTGTTATCAGATGTAGCACTGTTATCAGATGTAGCACTGTTATCAGCTGTGGCACTGTCGTCAGATGTTGCACTGTTGTCAGATGTTGCACTGTTGTCAGATGTTGCATTGTTGTCAGATGTAGCACTGTTGCTTAACATTTGATAGATATTTTTCGCACACAATATAAAATTGATGCAGTTTATAGAATGAGAGGGTCTTGCTGCCTGGAGATGCATGCCAATCTTATGCACAAATAATTCTGTATTGCCAACGCTTTGTGCAACACATACATCCCAAAAACCATAATGATGAAAAGGCTGATATGCGATGCCCAGTTAGGACGTTTTCTATCAGCAATGGATAATAACATTTTATAACACTGCTATGGGTATCTGTTTGGATTCATTTGCATTATCTTAAGGCAATATTAAATGCATTTTACATAATGTATAGTATGAAGTGGATACCTACCACATTCACCATAGGTCACTGCATTTGCATTATCTTAAGGCAATATTAAATGCATTTTACATAATGTATAGTATGAAGTGGATACCTACCACATTCACCATAGGTCACTGCATTTGCAGTTCTGTAGCCTGTGGGAAGTAAACATTTACAATATTTGCGATGAACAATTTCAATCCTATTCTATTTTTGGTATCCCCAAATCTCAGCACCATACATAAAATGCTCCCCTAACCGAAATATCATAACGTCTTATTAACAATTTAACTGACCAGGTGCTTTGCTTGCTTGCTCACATAAAGTTTTGCAGGCCTTAGTCCAAATTAATTTTGGAGTGAAAATAAGTCCAAAATATTTATAATATCATCACACAATATCATCCATTGGTAGATGATCAACTGCATCAAAACCAATATAATCTAATTGGGTTCCAGTTTTACTATTAAATTCTACACACAAGATGTAGTCATTTTCCATGAATTCGTCCATGAGCAATGCAGGAACATTTTTTAAAACTTCAATACACTCATTATAGCCGAATGTTTCAGGGTTCAGTTTAACACATCCAACTATTAGCCTTGTACCAGTACATCATTGGACACAATAAAAACACAGTAAACCTATTCGTCAGGTATCTTTGAAAAATAAGATGAAAGTTTATCACTAATATATACTGTACATACACAATAGCGACCTGCCTTCTCCTCTTAAGGTCTAAGTAACTGAAACGAAACGAAATCAGTTAAAACAAACTTGAAGTCATCTAAACATTTTGTCAACGTTTCGGTTAAACAGATAATACACACACAGTCATGGAAGTTATTATTGTTTATCTTAGTGTATAAACAGTTCACATTCCAACACAACAAGAAGTGAGTTGCTTTGCTGGAGAAATGCACGTGCATTCCGCGCTGACGACATCTGGTGAAGTTCTTCGTAACGGGTTTCAGATGAGAGATCACTTGGCAGCGACTTCCCATCATCTCTGCCCTTCGTTACTTTTGTAAGATCTTCTGTCTGATCATCAAAATAAAACTTTTTACCATTGACAAAGAAATAGTAGTTCTTCAAGAATGCACTTTGACCTTTTCCTCTAGCATTTATCATGTACAAGACAAGTTTCTTAGTTCTTTCCCTGTCCTCCGACACACGACACGGGGTAATTACCATACAGATGCTTCATCACCCCTTGACGCAAACCGTACAATTATAGGCGGGTTCGATCCTTGTTCACGTTTAGCACCCAGCCTATGAACCGTATCAAAATGAATGTTGTCATAATAACTCATATCAAGCCTTTCTTTCAAGAAAGTTCTTACTTTTTCCTTGGTTTCATACGGTTCTTCCTTCCCGTCCATTCCGATGACAAAAAATAGGTTATAGGAGTAATTCTCACTTCTATCTAATTTATCTTCTAAAGCCGCAATTTTAATGGATTGTTTAGACACAATTGACTTAAGTTCAAAGTTTTCATTCTGTCTATCGACTAGCTGTGCACTCACACGTGCATTATTTTCTTCAACTGCGCATTACAAATGCATAATGATTTCTGATTCCCTTTCTAGTGTGCACTATTCTAGCACGACAACTTGGTGCAAATACATTCTACATTTTGACCAGTTATCATTGTGGGCCCTTATTGTGTATTTAAACAGTAATGGCCACGTATTGTCTTCAGATAAAACCCGTTTTCGTGCAGGTGAATCGATCAAAATCATGTGCACAGCACTATAGTGGCAAAAGTGGTTTTTCACGTGCAACTGGTCACGTGGCCATAATACCGCTCGTGTTTTCAGCCATACTTGTTAGCAGTCATTAACAAAAAAAGAAAAACACAAGAAAACAAAAGTCTTTACGGCCATTTGTCATGCCACGCCTTTCAAATGTGTAACGTGAACGTGCCATCGGCATGTTGCAGACGGGAACGTCCGTAGCTGAAGTCGCAAGGACGAATGGTTGTAGTCGACGGACTGTTTATTATTTACAGACGCGTCTACAGCAAACGGGTACCACCGCTGATCGCCCTCGGCCAGGTCGACCACGTGTGACGTCACATGCAGAGGATCGTCAGATTGTCTTGCATCACCTCCGTAACCGATTTTTGACGGCTACATAAACCAGAAATGAACTGTTTAGGGGAAGACTGAGTGCGCAAACTGTTCGAAACCGTCTGAGAACTGCTCACCTTCAAGCACGACCGCCCTACTGCAGGCCGATTCTGACTCAATTACACAGACGTCATCGTCAATTGTGGGCACAGCGACACTTACGAGGGACTCAGAGGAATTGGAATCAAGTCGTCTTCAGTGATGAATCCCGATTCAATCTTCGATTTGCTGATGGTAGGGCAAGGGTGTGGAGGCGCCGTCATGAACGTTACGCCCAGTGTTGTGAACAGGAAGTAAACAGATTTCGAGGCGGAAGTGTCATGGTGTGGGGTGCTTTCTGTGGCAATGCACTTTCCAGACTTCTTGTCATCCGTGGCAACCTCAACGCTGCTGTTGACTCAGTATACATTGACTGGCTGTGGAACGTTCTTTCCTTTTTTATTCCTTGTATCTCGAATGAAATCATGCCAATCAAAATAATATCAACAAATTACAAATTGATGTTGACATGTTGAGTAACTCTGCTGTTTCTTACTCTTACTACTGTGGAAATACAAATGGGTAAACCCCCTTTTATGTGGCGTCACCTCATCTACTTTATTTGTAATGTTACATGTGGCTCGCTTTTCACGTTTCGATAAAAAAAACATAGGAATAAAAAAAAGAAGTTCCTATCGGTTTCTTTGTCATAATTAAGTGATAGTGATCGAAGAAATTAAAAACCATTTCAGCCTTTTAATCACCTGATTTCCTCCATATGTCTATTGTATGTGCGAGGATAGGGGTGGTGTATTCAGTGCTGACGTCACTGATTGACACGTGGGATCTAATTATAGATTTAAATTGAAAATTACTACCAAGTGTTTGAAGGCCTTGAAAAACAACTCAACACGATACAAAATATCAAATACTCAATATTAAAACATTAAAACCTTCTTTTCTGGGTCTGATCATGTTAATGTTGATAAATGTAGATCAACAAACTAACTTCAGGTGAGTGAGGTATTAAGAGAATATGATATTGCCTTCTTGTGTCACTAATGAAGAAATGTCATTCTAAAATCATCAACTTACAGCTTAACGATGAGCATCGGCAGATGTCTGTCCGTTAAACACTCATGCTTGCCGTCCAGCCGTCTCCTGCCTGGGAAATAATACAGGGGAACCCCCTACACATCACGTGACCCCAGCTTTCATTCTAATTGGCTAAGATTGTATTACTTCCCGTAACAACCCGCTTGTGACAACATAGGTGCATCTGATCACACAGTCCAGATCAGGTCTTGAATAGTGTCGATGAGCAGGGACTAATCTACCATTGCTTGCACTTCATTCCGTTTATTGTACGTATCATTGACGTTTGATCAGTATAGTGAACACATCGAGTGTATAAATGAGCAAAAATTGGCCTATATGTACATTTTCAGATTTATATAAACCCTTCGGGGATTCCAATATAATACGATCCCAAGCTTGACACACGAGGCGACTATAATATTTGTCAAAGGATCCCTTGGTCGTGGGTTCAGGGACAGAAGAGATCCCTGCACCACATGCAATTCATTGTGTAGAAGTGCGTCAAGGGATCCCTTGGTCGTGGGTTCAGGGACAGAAGAGAACTCCGAGTCGTGCAATTCCTTGTGTAGAGGTGCGTCAAAGGATCCCTTGGTCATGGGTTCAGGGACAGAGGAGATCCCTGTAGCACGTGCAATTCCTTGTGTAGAGGTGCGTCAAAGGATCCCTTGGTCTTGGGTTCAGGGACAGAAGAGATCCCTGCACCACGTGCAATTCCTTGTGTAGAGGTGCGTCAAAGGATCCCTTGGTCATGGGTTCAGGGACAGAGGAGATCCCTGTACCACGTGCAATTCCTAGTGTAGAGGTGCGTCAAAGGATCCCTTGGTCTTGGGTTCAGGGACAGAAGAGATCCCTGCACCACGTGCAATTCCTTGTGTAGAGGTGCGTCAAAGGATCCCTTGGTCGTGGGTTCAGGGACAGAAGAGAACTCCGAGTTGTGCAATTCCTTGTGTAGAAGTGCGTTAAAGGATCCCTTGGTCGTGGGTTCAGGGACAGAAGAGATCCCTGCACCACATGCAATTCCTTGTGTAGAGGTGCGTCAAAGGATCCCTTGGTCATGGGTTCAGGGACAGAGGAGATCCCTGTACCACGTGCAATTCCTTGTGTAGAGGTGCGTCAAAGGATCCCTTGGTCTTGGGTTCAGGGACAGAAGAGATCCCTGCACCACATGCAATTCCTTGTGTAGAAGTGCGTTAAGGGATCCCTTGGTCATGGGTTCAGGGACAGAAGAGAACTCCGAGTCGTGCAATTCCTTGTGTAGAGGTGCGTCAAAGGATCCCTTGGTCATGGGTTCAGGGACAGAGGAGATCCCTGTAGCACGTGCAATTCCTTGTGTAGAGGTGCGTCAAAGGATCCCTTGGTCTTGGGTTCAGGGACAGAAGAGATCCCTGCACCACGTGCAATTCCTTGTGTAGAGGTGCGTCAAAGGATCCCTGGGTCGTGGGTTCAGGGACAGAGGAGATCCCTGCACCACATG